ATCTGTGTTGCCAATGGAGATAATGGCATTTTTGACTTCTAATGAGCCACCAGAGTTCATTATGCTGACCTGCGACTGATTCTGGGACATCTGCAGACTTTCAGGAATTTTTGATGCAAATGGAGATAATGGCATTTCTGACTTCTACGGACCCGCCTGAGTACATTTCTTTTGTCTGGGACTTATTCTTTAAGAATTGCAGACTATCAGGATTTTTGTTGCCATTGCATATCATGTTTTTTTTAAATTTTAAGGACCCCTCAATCAGAAGCAGAGTATTTTCACTCCAAAAGGTCATTATTCCGGAAATTCTGCAAGTGGCCAATAATCAGTCAGAGACCAACGAAATGGACTCTGGATGGTCAAAAGATGTCAAAAATATAATTATCTCTATTGGCACCAAAAATTCTTGAAAGTCTGCTAGTGTCCAAGAATAAGTCGCATACCAAACAAATGGACTCTGGATGGACCTTAGAATTCAAAAATGTCATTACCTCCATTAACATCAAAAAATTCTGAAAGTCTGCGAGTGTCCAATAATCAGTTGCTGAAGTAAAAAATGTCATTATCTGTGTTGACATAAAATTCCTGAAAGTCTGTGAGTGCCTCAGAATCAGTCGCAGACCAACAAAATGGACTCAGGAAGGTCCGTAGATGTCAGAAATGTGATTATCTGCAAAACACCAAACATTTCGGAAAGTCTGCAAGTGCCCAATAATCAGTTGGAGACTAATGAAATGGACTCCTGGGGTTAAATCTATTTGTAACAATATCATGGAATTCTTCGAGGATGTCAGTCACAGCCACAGACGCAGACCAGTGAAATAGATCTGGCAACAAAAATTACATTTTCAGAGGCATTAGGATGCATAAGGAGTAAAAGAGGAAGAATATTTACTCTGCATTTAAGAATGCCCTGCTAGATTGCTCTGTCAGCTTGGAATTTCTGCAGAACAGTTTAATACTTTATTTAAGAATGCCCTGCTTGTTTGCATAGACAGCTCAGCATTCCAGCTCTGCTATATTGCTTAGCCAGCTGAGCTTGCCAACAGAACATTTTTACACTATATTTCAGAATGCTCTGCTGGATTGCCTTGCCAGCTGAGCATTTTTAACACTATATTTAGGAATGCCCTTCTAGATTGCTTAGCCAGCTGAGCAATGAAGCAAAGCATTTTTACACTATATTTTGGAATGCCCCGCTAGATTGTTTAGCCCGCTGAGCACACAAGCAGAGCATTTTTACACTGTATTATGGAATGCCCTGCTAGATTGCCTAGCCAGCTGAGCATACCAGCAGTTCATTTTACACTATATTTTGGAATGCTTCGCTTGATTGCTTAGCCAGCTGAGCATACCAGCAGAGCATTTTTCGCACCATATTTTGAAATGTCCTGCTAGATTGATTAGTCATCTGAGTATACCAGCAGAGCAGTTTTACACTATATTTTAGAATGTCCTGCCAAATTGCTTAGCCAGCAGAGCATACCAGCAGAGAATTTTAACACTTTGGATGCATATTTTATACATTGTTAAACATAACAAAACCGTAAAGTTTATCCGCTCTTGATTACGAGGACAATTCTGATTAAGAAAATGCACTAAAAACAGTTTCAGCGGTTTTCTCACGCCGTTAATCCCTTTTCTTGAATCAGATTTCTTCAAATTTGGTAAGCCCCCCACCCCAAACAACCTCCTCAACTAAACATTTCAATTTAAAGAATTTAAAAGGTCGTTGTAACAAAGAACTGTACCTTAATATTACCTCGATTCTCTGACAGATATTGTCCCTAAGGATTGAAAAATTAGCTAGTATTTCCAAAGAAAGTCCCAAAAATTAAGAAAACGGAAAGAAAGATCAACAAGGGCAAATCAAGTTTTCAACCCAGCAAAAACAGGCCATTATCATTTTCTTGTATTGTCTCAAAAATAATAATAAAAAATATCGTAGCCTCAAGCATGGTGAAATATTTTCAAAAATGACAATATTTAGCCCGGTTTAACACATGTATTTATTAGATCTAGATTTAGAGAACCTGTGCAATAAAACTAATAATCACAACTAAACTATGGTAAAAAAAACTGATGTTATAGTAATGAGCTTCATGTCAACAATCATAAACTTATCTTTACAATCCTAACATACGGTTTTATCTGGGTTAGGTTATTTTCAATTGTTTTCTTTTCTTCTTCAAATTTTGAGTTCTATTAGACAAGAAGAAAATGAGTTCTAAAACTAGTATTATGTTACAAAAAATATTACTGTTTATCTAAACTCTCAGAACAAAGCAACAAATTAAATAAAAGGCATACTTTATCTGACATTTTTCATATGAATCACAAGCATTACATTAGAAATATAGTAATTTATAGTAAAACACCAATATATGTCATATGAGTGAGTGTCGTTCAGTATCAAGATTTTTTTAAATTTAAATCATAATACTGTTGATGATGATGGCTTAATGCTTCTTTTGCATTTCATACGATAATATGATGTTAGTTGACCAGTGAATAACAAGTTTTACCAAGTGATTAATTTTTGAGGAAAAATGTTTTATTTATCCATTTGAAAAGGTTAACCTGTGGGTATCAAATATTTCAACCAACTGGAAATCTAAATGTCATCACACCGTGTTTATCATGAATGTAATCTACTCTGTTATTTAATTTTACTACTGAGATATGATCTGTTGTTTCAAGAGACCACGAATAACGGCCATTTAACTGTTATTATCACGGTTGACAAAGAAGACAAGAAGCTGTTTGTATTTGCATCAAAATTTGTGAAAGTGTAGTCAACATCGTTGGCTCTGTATCCTTGTTTAGTTTTACTTCTAGCAATAGACGCTGGTAAGAATCAAAGATATATGTAAGGACCCATTGTTGTATAGTTTAATAGTCTGGCATAACCAACATTTGAGTTGTACTGCACATTAAATGGTACGGAAGATGGTGAAGAGATTTGCTTCATTACAGTAACAGCCTATTTGGTAGTATACTTTATAAATATTTTAAATGAAAACATTAACTTCAAAAGTGACTTTAATTCTGCACAGAAATGGCATGTGTTCTGAATATTGCCTTGTTAATGTGAACATTTCAATCAAGGTAAAACAATAATTCAAATTAAAAGATTTGATAAGTATTATTTGGTATTTGAACTGTGTCTTTACCTTGACATGGGTTGTACCCATTGCAATGCTTAGGTAAACATGATCCATGTTAAATGGAAATCCATCAAGGGGTAAAGGACTCTTTCAACGTCATGAATTTCTGATTTCATTTCTTTGACTCTGTTGGCAATTGGTATAAACAAAGTATATCAATATTTTGTATGTAAGTTAAAAAGACTGCTTTTGTTTACATTTTGCTACCCTAACGACACATTACTGCACATTTAGTTTATAAACATCTTATAATATTATGCTCTACATCAACTATTAAAACATTATTAAACGCATTTGATATTTCTCAAGGATTTGAAAATAATGGCTTTATAAGGCATAATGTGACTTGCAATAGAATTGCTACCCCACTGTTTGAAAATACGTCATTTTTTCCTATTTCAAATAAGTTTGCGTCTCTACTATGCATAAATGTTAGAATTAAAAAAAACCTTCATCTGATGATGATTTTGATAATTATTTACAAAATAGGAGGCATTTCTCAACAAAATGTTTGATAAATTATGTTTTGAAGTTATTTGGAAGGGGAATAAATTGGCGTAATGGGGCTTTCTGTGTTATTGAAAACTACCTGGCAGGCAATCGCTTATTAATACAAGTAATTTGCTGGTTGATCGTGTATTGTGACTCAAATATAGACCATCTTTAACATGACAAAGCGATTCACACGATATTTCCATTTTTATGTCTCTCTGATACGATGTAAACATATATTGACATTGACATACAAGATTTGAGTAAAACTGTAGTCTTTCAAAAATAACTCCCACATTTACATTATTATTTTTTTTAGATATCTTTTCTTTTTTCTACAATGACACCAAAATACAAAATTATTACATGCAATTTGACAAATACCACAGATAAATCGACAAAATGTTGATAGTTATGAAAAAAACTCGTAATTAAAAAAAAAAGATAAACTATTATGAAAAATTTGTTAATAATTTCAAAATTTAAAATCTGAAATTTTGACAAGCTGATTTTATGTAACTGCAAGTTCATAGAATAATAAGAAAATACATAAGAAAATCCGTCGAAGTATGAATGGATGCAGATTTAACCATTATCTGATGAATCTGAAATTATTAGCAATTCAATAAAGACCTGCATTGCATGTGTTTTTTGCTTGTCGAATATGGAAAAAAAGTTGATGGCTGCGTCGTCGTCGTCTGTGCCGTCTTGTGCAAACAACTTTAGTGCAACCCATTACTCAAACACCTAATAAAGTATCAATACAAAACTTATTATGACAAGGTGCAGTCTAGCACAACGGGCAATATGCTTAATACCATAAAGTATTAAAGGTATAACCATTTCTGTCAAAATTGTAGAAATGATTTTAACTTAAGGAATCAACATGACACAATAATAACAAGCCAAAACAAAAATCAAGAGAAAATATTCTGAAAGCTTCTTTTCGGAGTCATGTCCCTTTGTTTATAACCCTCTTATGAATTAAATTGGTTTCAAAACTATCAAGGACATTCACGTGAAACTGTCGTGACAATGCGTAGTTTTTTAAGGCAAACATAATTGTTTAAGAGTTATACTCCTTTTAAACTTTGTGTCGAAAATGCTTATCTTAATCTATAAAAGTTATCAATTTAAAACTTAGCAAACATGATGATAATGACAAGATGCAGTTGTAAGACGAGAGGTATTATCCTGAAAACAATATCTATATGAGATACGTCGCGTTTGAGCATAGTCTTATGAGCCCATTCTATAGGCATACTTGCTTATCGGGTTAGGACAAAATATTAGACAGGTGATCGGTATTGTTATTTTCAAAGTGAAGTGCATGCATCCATATCATTCATGAATTAATTTTCTGTGTTTGTTTCCATATATGGTATTTTTCTTGTATTTACAACAATACACTTATTTGCTGAAAAAAATACTTTACAGATCAAATTGTATAGTTGCTTAAATTATTACAGACCAACGCATATGTTTATGTAAAAAATCGTCCAAATATAACAACTAAAGGTTGAAATATCTGTATTCAAAGATTCATAAGTTTATTTAAAGGAATACATATTTAAACATGTCGTTCTTTTTTTAAGAGTTCCTTACGAATAAAGAAGAGCCGGTATTTGACCAGAATCAACATCTGTCTTGTTTTTGTCCATCGGACTACGTCTAAACGATATTACTACGCCTTTTCCTTGAACCTGTTTTTGCCCGCTATTTCCATAGAATGATCTGGATCCTTGCATTTGTTGTGTAACAGTATACCACCTGTTTTGTTGTATCTTTTCACTACCTTTGAATTTTATATCAATTGTTGTTTCATCGCCATCCCTACACACTATTTCTAGGTTCTCTAGTTTTGCCATGCACCAGTTACTTTCGTCATATATCTTAACACTACCACGAATAATCCCATCTGGGAAAGGACGGTATAATGATACACCTATTAGGTTAATATCACGTGATGACCTGAAAGAAATAGCATCACAGTCATTATCGTTGTTGTCCCAGAAATCAAATATTCCCCCAAGAACCTCTTTAAAACGACTTGCCCTGAATATCTCAGTAGCATTGCGAGGTTTTGAAGGAAATCTTAGTCCAACTGTCGTCGTGTCGCCATCACGTGGATATCTACAAAACTGCCGATAAACCGCTAATTTTTCATCCGAAGTTAGCAATCCTGTGCCAGAGACAAGATCAGTAAACGTTCTTTGGTCCATATTTGGAAATCGTATTAGATACAGAATTTCTCCCAACACTTCACGCATGTTTTCATCACTTATTTCTAAACTCTTTAAACGGCATTGTTTTTCTGCCCAATTCAAACAAGCAATGAAGATGGTTTCCTCATTCGCCATCAATTTATCAGACTGCAGTAATTTCCTTAGGCAATCAAAGCATAGGCTTTGATAATCCTTTAGTGGACTCTTCAGAACGTCCATGCTGTTGGAGAAAATTGTAATGAAGCAATGATTTCGTAGCTCATTCTCATCAAACATATGGGCCTGTTCTAATATTGTACATACATTGTCACATGTAATCTTCGTTTCCAAGTATTCTCTGCATCTAGTTACCAGTCCTTCTACAGCATATTTCTTGGCTGTGTACATGAGCGCCATCACCGTGTCCGGAGCTATGTCAATCCTTTCTGTATATAAGAACCTGTCAACAATAATTGGTAAAACTTGCGTACAGTATAATCAGATGAAATAAAAGATGTGCTATAAAGACGATGTTGGTGAATGACTGAAATACATATTAGTCCTAATAGGGAGAGATCAGAAACATGTGATTATATAGTGAATAAAAATGAAAGTATACAGTTTATGGTTTTAGTCCGACACATGTATATTTAAAAAGGGGATTTAAATTTCGAACTACTAAAGGTTATACCTCTTACTCATTTACTTATATCAGAAACTTTAATATTTTACCATTCCAGGTCAGAAGAAAAAGATATATCGAAGAGTACGAAAAGAAAATCAATATTTCAAATTACGATGATGACGAAGATTATGAGGACGAATACTATGACGATGAATTCTATTATGGCGGGAATAAAGAATATCAAACTGTCATAAGGGAAACCGTCACAGAGCAATTTATGGATATAGACAAGTAATATATTTTATGATCCTCTGAAGCAAATCTTATAGTTGTATTCATATTTTTATAGCAACACAACATAGTTTTAGGTTTAGATATTAGGATAATCTCAGGCAGGAGATACATGTATATGTCAGTGATAACATTACATTCAAACGCTGCTAAAAGTCGCATTGTCGCACTTTCCTCTAAATCTCGCACCATTGCCGCTAAATGTCGCAACCGCCGCTTATTGTCGCAAAATTTCTCTGCCGCTCAATAACAGTAGTAACATTACATATCGAATGATTTTCACTTGCCGTTAAATGTCGCAACACTACCGTTTGATGTCGCAAGATGTATGTTCCTGCTGAAATTAAGTTAACTGGTTTTATCAAATTACAATGAACATTTAGTAAATGTTTGTACATATTTAGTAATTTTTAATCATAAAAGAATGTCCCGATTTATCTGCCGACTAAACGACAAACTGGGTTGATATTTTGCATACGTAACCTTAACTGTTGATTGCATCATCGAAATTTGTAAAACTGTTAACTGACGGTGTCAAAATGATAACATATATATAGTAGAAAACCTGTAATACAAATAAAACCGCAGGCAAAAATATAAAAAATCTGATCTTAATTGAATCTTTTTAGAATAAACTTTCGGTGTGCTAGATCCATGTCAAGCTGATGTGGTAGTTCAAATCCACGACAACTGGGTTGTTAGATTAAAAAAAAACGTTTGTTATATCACCAAAGGGATCTTTGACATAAGTAATGGTTGTCAATTTACAATACCGACGAAGATGACTTCAATTGCAATCAATTACTTTGTACATCATAGCAAATCTTTTCCTAACTAATAGATAGCTATAATCTCAAGAGTACCTACATAACGTTAATATTGTCACAATACGAGTTGTTTTACCTGAATTGAGATATTACGACATTAAACGGTGATGTTGTGGCATTTAACGGTAAGAGAACAATATGATATCCTTTTTGTTTATTAAGCTAGTCATAATTGTATTTTTATATTGTGCTATTAGTGATTTTTGACTGTTATTTTTCTGTTTGTTTGTTGTTATAACCAGTTGCATATTATATGCCTTGGTTTAATAAAAACTGAAACTGAAACTGAAAATGGTGCGACATTTAACACCATGATTGCGGCATTTAACGGCTTAATACTTTGAGACATTTAGCAGCGGTACTGTAGAGATAGCGGCAATAGTGCAAAATATAAATAAATGTACGTAAGTAAAATTATGTCCCATCTCTTGCATCGTCTTTTAGAAATGAGGTCCAAAATCCTTAAAACATAACATTTCATATTTTTACAAAGATTAAAGATCCTGTATGTTTTGTAATTGAGATTGCATACCACTCTTCATTGAATTATATGTGTATGTAATTATGCAACTTTGTCAATTTTCAAACATGGAAGAATATGTAAAATATGTATTGCAAATATTTGTACATATTTAAGGTAATCATTAAACTATATGCATTCATTTCTTATTGGAAAAATTGACTTAGAATTTATAGAAAACTAAATTCTAATTACCTCCCTTTATTTACATGAAATATTAAATTCGGTAATATCTTTATAAATAATGTTTTTTGAAACTTACAATATCGATAAATCTTAATTTGAGCATCATAATTTGTATATAAAACCATAAAAATAATGTGTTACAGGATCTTTAAGTGAAGCATTTAAAATGGTAAAAAAACTACAAAAGATAATAAAAAATGGACTTAAAAGAAACAATTATTGTAAATTGCTCTTTAGTGTGTTTTCATGCCGATTAACAGAAAAACGTTCGTAACGCTTTTCATTTTGGGGCCATTTTTTATACAATAACAATGATTATTCTGAAAAAAGCGGGGTATGTGTAGGATGTAAATAATGTTCGTACTAATTATTAGTTAAGACCTACTACTAATGGTTAACAAATCTCGGAAAAAAATATGTCCAATTACGGCATATCAAAAATCCTCAGCGGAGTCCCTTTAATACAGTTGACTATACTTTCAATCTTCTTCAATAAGATTTGAACCATATTTTTTTAACATGCAGATTGTTTGTAATAGGAAAATGAATCTGATAAAAACTGCAACTTCAAACAATGATACGGATGCCTGCATTCATGTGTCCATTAAGTCTACATTGCATCGTTTTGAGGTTGTAAAGATATACAAAATGCCATTATGAACACATTTATCAAAAAAAAAAATTAACCTTTGCCCCACTGACTTTGTAAACGTTGGCTTACTTTGGTAGGAATTTGGAGCAATCAGTTAAAAGTTTAAGGGTATTTTAAACACAAATACAAATAAATTCAGCAACTAATATGTTAGAGCCTTCTTAAACTGCATGTACGACCAGCGTGCAAAAAAATATTAATTTTATGATTATTTATAGTGACATTATGCTCATATTTTCATAGTCAAGTTGAGCTGAATTGACTTTATAATTCAAAAGATTGACTGTTAAAATGGTGTTTGACCAACAGGTGATATTTGAAAAAGTTTAGGAGAAAATTATAAATCTGCCTGAAATATAAAAAGACTGCCGTACTCTTTTTATAAACTGAACGGTACACGTAAGTTCTAATGGATATTTACAGAAAATTCCTTCGGATCCGTGCGTTATTTATTGTTTTGCGAAGTGAATTATTAAATCAAAAGGAATTATTGCAAAATGAAAACTTATTTATATATTCACATGTTCACTGACTATATACCCTTGGGTGGGCATAATGTCACTTTAAAACTCTTCACATTCTGGCCGGTATTACACCATCTTACCTTTCTCGCCGTTTTTGTCCGAGGATCGAACCAGCGACCCCTGGCCCCACATTCGCTAAGAAAAGATCAGGATAAGGATCAAATGATCCTGATTTTATTTTCATTGTTTTATGTTACTAAAATTAATCGTGCTTTGCTAGAATTAAATGGAAAATATTAAAATGTAAAAATTACTGATTTGCAAACTATTTTGGGATAAAATCAACAATTAACAAAACAATTACAAAAATATTCGGATAAAACAAGGATCAATTTTAGGATCAGGATCAATATTTGGATCAACTGTAAAATTCCTGTATCTTGCAAAAATAACAAAAAATGTATTCTAAAATTTCATAAAGTTGCTATTGCAAGTCCAGTTTTATCAGATATTTAATATATGAGGATAAACGATGAAGAATATTAGAGTTTTAAATTTTGATCCTGATTTTGCATCCAGATTCTTAAATCTTTGTGAACAAGGGACCTGGATTACAAATCAAGTGCGTTGCGTTCCCATTTGGGCTAAGCGGGCGTGTTTGGCAAGATTATTTGCAGTCGAATTAGAAGATTTGTTTATTAATTTGCATTTTTCTATAGACAGCGCTTTAAATATTTAATTAACAACATCAACATTCTTTTTTGTTCCAGTTACAAAATAGTTTCTAACCATGATGCAATCATTCTTTACGACTGAAGTTTTTTCTTAACTATATAGAATGTCCCGGAATCTATTTTTTTTCGCATAATTATAGGTAATCATTTTACATTGCAGCCATGACCATCTATTATTCAATTTTGTAATTGATATGTTTATTTCGTTACTTTCCGTGTATCCAATTACATAGTTATGTCATTGTAATGTTCGCGTATTTTAGACAATTATTTGCTTTCACATACTCATCTGGAAGGTTGTGTCATTTAAGTGAATTGGTCTATTATGGAAGATTTGTGATGGAATGAATAATTTACATTGGTAGAAATAAGACATAACAACAAACCACGAATGAATTAAACATGTATTAAATCCACGTTTGACCCGTCCTTTCCACACAAAAGTGTCTGTGGGTTTTTATGTGATTCAATTCAGTTTTTTTCATTTACATATTCTAAACTTACTTTTATATATACTTTTTGTTTCTAATTATAGATACGACAGAGAGATTTTAGGACATAATATCGCGGATATGCTGGTTGAATGTACATTTAACGGCAGGAAATGCACGGCGAAGTGAGTATACAACTCTTTGTATTATTCTGGTTATATATGGTTCATGTGCTGGTTTTTTTTATGAGAGCGTAAAAAACAATGATTCATGCACTGTGGTCTTTTCTAAGAGCGTAAGAACCAATGGTTTATGTGCTGGGGTCTGTTTGTAAGAGCGTAAGAACCAATGGTTCATTTGCTTGGATCTGTTTGTAAGAGTGTAAGAACCAATTGTTCATGTGCTGGGATCTGTTTGTAAGAGCGTAAGAACCAATGGTTCATGTGCTGGGATCTGTTTTGTAAGAGTGTAAAACCAATTGTTCATGTGCTGGGATCTGTTTGTAAGAGTGTAAGAACCAATGGTTTATTGCTGGGATCTGTTTGTAAGAGCGTAAGAAACCAATGGTTCATGTGCTGGGATCTGTTTGTAAGAGTGTAAAGAACCAAATTGTTCATGTGCTGGGATCTGTTTGTAAGAGTGTAAGAACCAATTGTTCATGTGCTGGGATCTGTTTGTAAGAGCGTAAGAAACAATGGTTCATGTGCTGGGATCTGTTTGTAAGAGTGTAATAACCAATTGTTCATGTGCTGGGATCTGTTTGTAAGAGTGTAAGAACCAATGGTTTATGTGCTGGGATCTGTTTGTAAGAGCGTAAGAACCAATGGTTCATGTGCTGGGATCTGTTTGTAAGAGTGTAAGAACCAATTGTTCATGTGCTGGGGACTGTTTGTAAGAGCATATTGAACCAATTGTTCATGTGCTGGGGACTGTTTGTAAGAGCGTAAGAACCAATGGTTTCATGTGATGGGGTCTGTTTGTAAGAACGTAAGAACCAACGGTTCATGTGCTGGGGTCTTTTTATGAGAGCGTAAGAACCAAAGGTTCATGTGCTGGCGTCTTTTTATGAGAGCTTTAGAACCAATGGTTCATATGCTGGGGTCTTTTTATGAGAGCGTAAGAACCAATGGTTCATGTGCTGGGGTCTTTTTATGAGAGCGTAAGAACCAATGGTTCATGTGCTGTGTCGGTTTTTAAGAGCGTAAGAACCAATGGTTCATGTGCTGGTCGGTTTGTAAGAGCGTAAGAACCAATGGTTCTACCATATTACTCACGCGTATAATAAAACAACAGCAAAGATGCTGATGGCGATGATAATAACAAGAGTTCTTTAAATGATGAAGAAATGATGATACACTCGTTATAGAAATGAATTTTTCGGACGAAATCCGTCTATTATCAGTTTGACTTCCTGTAAAATTAACAGAGAAGAACTGAATATAAGAAGAATTTTCATTGGTGAATTTCATTGGTCATTCTAAAAGAAAATGTAAAGGATAGTTATTACCATTTTAAAATAAAATGTAAAGGAAAGTTCTTACAAAATTTAAGAATAGATCTACAATAAAATGTAAGGGATAATTTTGCCACTGTAGAATAAAATGAAAAGTATAGCTCTAAAATATAATGTACATGCACGAGGATAGTTCTTTTACTTTTAGATTATTTTTCAAATTATTACAAAATTTATAAACTAAGTCAAACGTAAAAAAAAGTAAAAGGGACAACAAAAATAGAAATTGTCATAATTTGAAAACTCCTCTATATCAATGATCTGCTATAGTTTAACATAAGAAATAATTATTATGTCAATGTTATGCAAGCATTGCTTACATTTCTTTTTTTTTGTATTGAAAACTTAGAAATAACATAATTTTGCATGTTAACCAGATAATATTTCGGCCAAATATCATTTTAAAAGATACAACTTGTTTCTATTTTATCCCCAGCCATTTTGAACTACATCAAACATCACAGTATGGGAACTGTTGGACGATATCTGATAAGAAGTTCAAGGTCAGGAAAGCCGGTCCTTTAACTGGTAAGACTCAATACTGACACATCTTAACTAACATTTAACTGTTATATAATAATTACTTACATGTTCCAACAGAGAAAATCAATTATTATTGAATTTCTCTCAAAATTACAATAGTCATTGCCAGTAAATTGTCTAAAGACGTACAAAACACTACTTTTGATTGCTATGCTAATATTTCGGAATATTGAAATGGCGTTTTTGTCCGTCTGTCGATAATTTTGTCTGTACATCGTTCTGTCCGGAAGGACCCTTGGTAATTTTGGTATAACTTTTGGTCCAAACCCTTTTGTCTGTAATTATGTTTAAAATAATTATGTTTTAAATATACTACATTTGTATATAGATTACCATAATTATGCTTAAGATAATTATTTTAAGATAATTATGTTAAAAATATTTTAATTCTTAGTGTTATACTTTAAACGAATGACCAAAATGGCTTAGTTTCCAAATAATATAGTTTCCAAAAAGTTACCCACAACCATCTTTTTCTTCTGTTACAAGGTACTACATGGTACTTTACAAATAGTACAATGATAGTGAATTACATTTCATGGAAGTCAAAGTACTGTTTTGTTTACATTTTGATACTTTTATGTCTTTTATATCAAGTAATTTCAAATTCAGCGCTACTTTCTTCTTATAATGAACATTTAACATGCTTTATTCTCCCAAACTTCACATAAGTCGGTTGTATATAATAAGGCAGACGACATAAATTCAATAAGTCGATATGACATGCGGAATTTATTTCCTCAAATCATGGATTTATAGAACAAAATGTGACACAGTTGTTTTTTCTTGTGGTTGGGGTGTCTTTATTATATATAATTATGCAGAAAATACAAAAGCTTTATATGACAATGATGCCAAATATAACATGATACGATATATTGACATATGAAACTAAAGTTATACAATATAAAACGAGTTTCCCGTGCATAATGATGCTGTCTATAGTTTCGTTGAAAGAAAGGTGACACTAGCCATTTATTATTGTTCAAACGTATTCACACGTTGTAAATCATTATAATGTTCTGTGCTCGAAATACATTCTTTTTATTATTTGAGCCGCGTCATGACAAAACCAACATAGTGCGTTTGCGACCAGCATGGATCCAGACCAGCCTGCGCATCCGCGCAGTCTGATCAGGATCCATGCTATTCGCTATTAGTTTCTCTACTTGTAGTAGGGTTGGTAAGCGAACAGCATGGATCCTGATCAGACTGCGCGGATGCGCAGGCTGGTCTGGATCCATGCTGGTCGCAAACCCATTATGTTGGTTTTGTCATGGCGCGGCTCATTTAACCCTCCGAAACGGATATTTTAGTTTCATACTTTGTAGTGTAGATTATGATGATAATACAAGCATATGACAAACGATAAGAGCTGCTTACTCACACCTACCTAAATATCTTAAATTGACCTGTCCATCTTTTATTCTGGGCAAAACCATTCTTCATCTTGGGGAAAATTTTCAAAATATGTACTGATTGAAAAAAAGAAAAATGCACATCACTTTCAAACACCACAATTAGGCCAATCATAATTGATCTGTACACTGGTCTGCCTTTCTTTCTTGATAAATAGTTTAAATATTTAAGCATAGAATTCTACTTTGTTATTTCAGAAATTCATTACTATTTACTCAACAAAGTTTCCAACCTCAAACGTTTCGAGGGGTTAATAAAGAGGCGTTTAACCCCTCGAAACGTCGGAGGGGATCAGACAGTTAAAAATAATTGTTTGTAGAGTGATTCAGAAATTCATAAACCTATTTAACATATATATTTGAATGAAGCTATACATTTTTGTCTGCAAAATGATTATGAAAACCATTTAAAAGCTCAGTAAAATCCGCTGATTTAAGGTCAAGAAGAACCGATAGTTGCTTAATTAATCTATATGTATTTAAAGACAATACCTACCCCGCATTGAAAGCATCGTACCTCCAGTGCTTTGATTTTATCTGATCTTCGTCATTTTTTTCAGGACTATCACTTATTTTGTTTTCTGGGAGACGAACACCAATATCTACAGGGAATAGCTAACGGGTATGGAATACGAGTTAGTGTCCAGCAACGGAGTACATATCCGTTTCCGGCAGATGAGGGTCTATTTATACCAGCATCCATGGAGTCTGATATTGCTCTAAAACTCGTTAGTTTATTTAACCTTTAACCCGTCGAAATTAAATATACAATGCACTTACTCAGTTTCGGTTTACATCTGGTGATAAGGATTTTTCTATATCAATAGGAAAGTAATTGATCACACTCTGGTTAAGTACTTGTTCACACTATAGGAAAGTATTTGTTCACACTTTAGGAAAGTACTTGTTCACTGTAGGGTAGTACATTATGTACTTGTTCACACAAAAGGAAAGTACTTGTTAACACTCTGGGGTAAGGTACTTGATCACCGTCTAGAAAAGTATTTGTTCACACTGTAGAAAAGAACTTATTCAAACTGTAGGAAAGTACCTGTTCACACTAAAGGAAAGTACTTGTTCACACTGTAGGAAAGTACTTGTTCACACTATAGGAAAGTATTTGTTCACACTTTAGGAAAGTTCTTGTTCACACTATAAAGAAATTGACCACACTCTAGGAAAGGATTCGTTTTCTCTCTCTCTCTCTTTCTAGGAAAGTACTTCGTCACTCTTTGAAAGTAATAGAAAGACCTTTGTCACTTATATCTGTTGTACACAGTTACATTTTTAAGTTTTGAACAATGTGAATACATCGTCTTGTTACTTGCAGATTAATATAACTCGACTTGGAGGTAACTATGGCAAATGTAACGACGGAGTGGAATTTCGGGCATTGTACAACATGTCCTATACCAGAAGGGTAACTTATTTATTTATTTTTTTATTTTTCCTCGTGTAATAATATTTAACCGGCGAATATCATATCGGTATATTGTCAAAGATCACCAATATTTCAAGGATGTTTATTCTGTTTTAAAATTGTGTTTGAATTTGCTTTTATTACCTCTTAAAAATATCCAAATACATATGTATAACATACATGTATAAATTGAAACTAGATCTGTAAACACAAAAATGTGTTGATAGAAAGTAACTTAATGGACATATATGTAGATTTAGTGCCTAAATCATGCTAGTCTTAAATTTTCCAACCATTTTTATGTTGTTGTTGTTTCAGCTTTCATCTCAGTTCGTGCGATAATTGAGCCGCGTCACGACAAAACCAACATAATGGGTTTGCGACCAGTCTGATCAGGATCCATGCTGTTCGCTTACAAACCCTATAACAAGTAGAGAAACTGATAGCGAGCAGCATGAATCCTGATCAGACTGCGCGGATGCGCAGGCTGGTCTGGATTCATGCTGGTCGAAAAACCCATTATGTTGTTTTTGTCGTGACACGGCTCATATATAAAATAAGCTTTAAAATACCAGATTTCTTTTTTTGTTCAAGGCTTGCCAATCGTTTTGTCAAATGTCTACTGTCATTAAGACTTGCTCGTGCTATGACGATTATTGGGAAGAGTTTGCTTTTAGTAACAACCCGAAACTTAAGCCGTGTAGAACCAACGACGGTAAGCTTAGATCACTTCTTATAATCGCGCGCTGTTATGTCACTTCCGGTCAGGTCAAACGGATAGCTGAACATTTTGTGAAGAGGAATAATGTCCTGAAATTAAGTAAAAGAGAAAATCAATGTAAATCTTTTATTATTATTATTATTATTGCCAAACTTCTTAAGCACTTTTTTCATGCACATTGACACGTTCAAAAGTACTGAAAGAAAAAAAAAAAAAAAAAAAAAAAGAAATAAAAAAATTAAAACATCAATATCGCTCAAGTCACAAAGTCAAATCGATGTAGTTTAAGAAGTTGAAAAGACCCACATTAATAATAAAATTCAGGTAAGAACCTAAAAATAATCAGTCCAAATAAAACCTCTTAAATAAGTGAGTTTAAGTGCTCTCTTAAACACTGTTAGAGTTTCACAGCTTTTAACTGTTCTAGGTAGGGCATTCCAGAGTTTAGGGGCTGCCGTCATAAAAGCACGATCACCATAAGTCACAGTCCTACTACGCGGTACAACAAGTGCTAAGCATCATTCTGGGAGCTAAGTTGTCTGGATGGGATATTAATGTCTAGCATGTCTCGTATGTTCGTAGGTGCCTGTCCATGAAGCGCCTTAAACACATATGTAAGGAGTATGTACTCGACTCTGATGTGCACACGAAGCCAATGTAGTCCCTTTAAAACTGGGGTTATGTGGCAGTTTCCTATTTGTCGTATTTTTATGAAGCATGAACGAATTTAGCAAATAAAAACAATTCAAGAACTTGTATGTTTGGCTTCAGTCGAAACCAGTATACGAGTCTATAATATGACTTTGATGGCATATTCTACAGTTTTTTTTTCCATTTATTTTATTCCTTTTTTGTTCTGTCCTGTTTGTTTAACCGAGATAAGTTAAGGGCGGGTGAGGAATAAGGAATGAGATAATCTAGATATTATATATACACATTGAGCAATCAATGACCGTTTATTTTTATCATTTTAAGTGAAGTGGTAATTTTCATTTTTTGACAAATTTTGCAACAGTTGTTTTTGTTTTCCCATTATTCTTTCAATACATTTTAATTATTTTCTTTTCAGAAAATAAATGTCTCGCGAGAGTTTTAAGTCAGTATTATGAGGGCAATTTAACATGCACATGTCGTCGGGTTAATTCTACAACCCCGTAACTCGATTTTTGGCAAAATTGAGATTTTTATATCATTTTTTTCGTCTCAATGAGCTCTTCACAGTGAACATACTTATGTAGTTGTAGAACTAACATAAAAATGTTTATTTCCAATTCCACAAACCCGTAACTCGCTATTTACATCAAACTTTAATTCTAGACCCCAGTAACTTCTCGTCCAATCAAACATTCTGATTTTGTACCACGTGATACATGACACATCTGTAATGGCTGCCTACTTATCACAGCCAAATATTTGAAAAACTTTTAGTGATTTATTTAAAGATAATTATAGTAATTTTTACCTGAATGTAATATACATATCATTGATGATTTAGTTTTTATAGCTCTTACATCATTTTGAATTAATAGTAAATGTATTGAATAGATACATATGTAAATACTACATTTATTCGGATGAAAACCATTTCGGACGGCCTCGATAAGTACTATTTTTTGTTAATTTCCCTAAAGCTTCTTATTTTCAAGTTTTTACACTTTTTTGAAAGGGTACTCATTAGCTATATAATAGCTGAACCCATTTTTACATTTGCATTTTGATCATCCATCAAAGTTATAGTTATTAGATGTTCTTGAATGGAAGACAAAATACCACTTTGTTTAAATCTAGATGCTATCAGGACAAATTGTTTCAGATTCAACGCTGTTTTCTGAAGCACGAAAAGCATCTACTTAATGTACACTCTAAATCAAAATTGAAACATAATAGCAACATAGGTATGTGACAGAAACGCATCGTCGAATACCCACGGTTGATAAACATGTAACATAACAAGTGCATACTTTTGAAAAATTAATGTAGATTTCATTTGATAGTAGCATTGGTTTTCAAACAGACGTGTAATATTTTACACAGTAGGAGAAGTTAATGATATTTTTTTACTTGAATTTTTGCTATGTTTCTAGCCGAAAATTATTACACTTAGTCAATTTGTTTCAATTAGAACCCCGTATGTCGCTTTTATAGTGTAGAAATGACCTGAATGTTTTGTCAACAACCACGTATCTCTCGAATGGGGTTTTTAGAATTCAGAATTTGTATGTATTTTCTTATTTATTATGAAAAATTGAAATTAATTATTTGATATTTTAGCTTTAAAATTGTATGCACAGAAATAAAATTTGGTACATATGTACAACATACAGATTTCTAAATTCACTGAAAATTTTATCTTTATACGGTTTATCATTAAAAAGTTATAACAGTTCAAACTTTCAAATGCGATTTTCTAAAAATGACAAAAAATGACATACGGGTTTGTAGTATTAAGCCAACGATGTGATAATCCTTGCAGGTTTGTTCATACATGTCTTTGATTGTTTTATGGGGAAGTCCTGGTAAATCCGGACATTAGGTAAACACGGACAATTTAAGCTAACCCTGTAGAAATGTATGTTTTCTTATATGAGTGGCATAAAGCCGTCTTTGTGTGTGAATTTATTTTGTCTTCGACCAAATACCTTGAATTATACAAATTATTAATCACACTTAATGATAATAGTGTCGTTATAATATAAATGTTTAGATCTAGATCTGTTTTTTTTGTTTGGGGCCGTTTCGATTTATTTCTCTATTTTCTTTTAAATTATGCATTCTATGTAACTTTTGGAATCTCCCAGATAACTATTTGTTTTGACTAGAGTTTTAAAGGCTAACACGATTTTAGATCTACTTTTAAGAAAAATGGTAACATATGACAAAAATAACATATACTTGTGTTATTATGTACAATATGTATGCTTTTGGTTGGTTGGGTGTAACTTGACACTAACACAGTAAACGTTATATAGCGACTTTCCAACTTTACTTTTAGAGGAAGACCTTAGGTGCCCTCTGTGCATTACTGCAGGGAAGAATGGCCCCCTAAGTAGAACCACCGTAAGCTACCTGGGTAGCTTTTTGCCATGATATAATTTGAAACTCCTTGGCGAGATTCGAACCTACAGCGGTGAGGTGCAGGTGGTTTGAAGTCAACGACTTAACCATTCGGCCACGGACGCCCCATTATACTAGTATGCTATTTACATTATCTTTAACTGCTTATCAAGCAATAAGGATAACTATAGTCTGTCCCATCAAATTTGAACATTCCATTTTTTATTTAATATAATAGTAAAATCATTTAAATTAATGTCATCTTAACCATGACGTCAATATCTCTAGGCATGTTTTTCATTTTTTTCATAAAGTCAGTAATATGGTCAAAATGTTAAAATTATATTTTTCCCCGTTGACTTACGTTGTAACCTGACGTGACGTCCATTTCAAAATGGCGACGCTCATACAGACGTCATTGAGGGTTCGTCTCACAATTACCGTGAAATGTACTCGGTAATTATAAAAATTTGATTATATTTATTTACTTACTGATCAATAGCTAAATGTTCTCATTAAAATAAAAAAGTGAAGAAAATTGGTGTCAAAAAGGCAATTTTACTAGCAAACTATTATTAAAATAATCAAAATCATTTAAAGCTCAAATATCGCTAACCGCTTTATAAATTCTTACACACAAAGATTAAATTAATAACCATGATAAATTAAACTGTCGTATTTTTTAAGATAAAAAAGAACAATGAAGTGATTTGATTAGATAGCTTTCCATACCGCAGCATGTCGTAGGAAGCGGGAACACTAGCTATATAGAATATGATAAACAATATCAACAAGGAAAGGCGGCGTTCAATGAACGTAACCCCCACATGACCCAGCTAGAAGACTATAAAAAATGGTTCTTTGCTAATTAATGTTTAATTTACACAATTCTTTAGTTGTCTGAATTCTGTCCACTAGTATGTATCACTTCTATTCAAAAATAATTAAATTGACCAGGTTCGATGGGATACAAGAATATGTTACCCTTCTTATTTCGGGTGCGATGTCCGTGCGCTAAAACTTTCCGTAGGTTTCAACTTTCACAAAAAATCGCCAACAAATACTACTTTATCATGCAAATCTGACAAGAAATATATAGAAAGGAAAACTGATTCACTATATGTTCAGAATTGGTTTGCTTGTTACCACGATGTCTACTTTAACTAACTCCCTGGCTAATGAGAGAACACAGACTCGCGTTCGAGGAAAATGTTAAATTATAAGAATATATATAATATCATGCTTTCTAGTTTGAGCAATCATACGTAGGCCTATACACTTTTAGTTTGTAAATACAAATTTAACTTCCCGTCTCGCAATTCAACAAAATGTCAGTGATTTCACTGATTTGATATTATTAAGAATAAGTTTGAATAAATTGAATTGGAGTGTTAAATAAGCGACAATAAGTGTGTTTTTTTTAGACTCAAAGTGTTACATATAATTATTATGTTAATATGAAGGGGAGATCGAGTCCAAGAGAAACACCGAGTGACTTTCTCAATAATTTTAGCCTTCCTAAAATTTAAAAATATTCAGTGAAAATACAATAGATCTAGCATATTTTTCGCGGGAGAAAAATACGGCATATTGTATATTTTGTAGCTAAAATAGTAGGATATACAGAAGTCATGAAAAACGAGATTATATGTAGGGAAATTATTTCTGAGAAATATGTAAAATAGTTTAAAACATAAAATCAAAACGAATGTAATATGTAATTAATGGAAGAAGTATTGTACTGTTGTAGATTCATGTCATTTTAAGTGTGTTTAAAATTATCTAGATGATCTAAATGTTATCAAAAGTTTTATCATTCATATATGAATTGAAGGTGTATTTTTACAGTTAAGTTGCAAAATCTGGGTATACAAAAATTATTTTAAATTCCATCAAGACAAATTCATCTCAACGCTTAAAATTATCTGTTTGAGGTTACATAATGCCTAGCCGCTCTCTGTCAATGCCGCAACTGGAATCGCGAGGCATTTTTGTTACGTCATATATTTCGTAAATTGTTGTTGACGTAATAAAGTTTCGTCTGGAATCCATTTTCAAGAGTTATAATGTTGACAACTAAAATTGATGGGCCGTTCTTGAATTATGGATTTGGAACATAATGAATTATGATGTGTTTCATTTACATATTTCATTTGCTAACCCAGATAACTCCACAAATTGAACAATGTTTTAATAATGAGACGGATTAACAGGTTAAAAAATCTGGATCATCATAAGTGTACTGTAGGAGTCATGTCATTTAGGAGTTTCGAAGTAGAAAAAAATCGGATCTACGGAACTGGATAGATACTGGCAATGAAGGAATCTTCAGAAGGGACGTTTATAAATATCTATTCCGAAATTCATAGGAATTCTATTCAGCTTAAAAGTAAGTGTACAGTAATTTCTAGATATTTTATCCATTTGATTCGGTGTTCTTGCTGTTGTTTTTTTTTTCATTTTTTTAAGTTTTTCATCATGCATTGCAACTAAACTGTTAGTGTTACATCTTGTAGATCCAGCTTTGTAAAATAATCATGAAACGACCCCGAGAACCTCATGTATATTTTAGAAACATGACACGTGCTTTCTCCCGTTCATCTTCAAATGAAGAGTACTTCGGCAATGGCTACGGAAAATAAACAACAGAGATTTTCCATAGAGAAATCAAAATTTGCTTTCACAAGAAAAGTAGACATTTTAGAGTAAAATCCTGAAAAATCTCGAGGGTGACTTTATTTTAGTTTACAAAAATAGTTAAATTTTTATTCAACCTAGTTTTGTTAATTCACACCAGGCGAAAGTTCATTTCCTTTTTTAATGGGACAGACTATAGTTATTTTTAACTTATATATTGTAATTGTAATTTTCGTGAAACTTTGTTTTACAGCGAATTTAGCTACACGAGAGAGATGAGCCAGAGACAGTGGCCGTCTAATGAATATGCCGTAAGTTTTCGAGCCTAGTTCACATATGAGCCGCGTCATGACAAAACCAACTGTTGAACATAGTGCGTTTGCGACCAGCATAGATCCAGACCAGCCTGCGCATCCGCGCAGTCTGATCAGGATCCATGCTGTTCGCTATCAGTTTCTCTACTTGCTTTAGGGTTTGTAAGCGAACAGCATGGATCCTGATCAGACTGCGCAGATGCGCAGGCTGGTCTGGATCCATGCTGGTCGCAAACGCACTATGTTGGTTTTGTCATGAGGCGGCTCATATATTCTTTGACTTTTGTATCTGCTTGAAAGTATACGGTCAAATCATTTTTAAATAAAAAAGTGTAATGTGGTGCTTCGATACTCGATTTGAAGCAAGTCCCTAATAACGCCAATTAATATGACTGAATGATATAGGCATTTGTAGAACGCTCCGTGACGAACTTAACGACTTATCGGCAGTGAAGTAAATTGCTTCGTGTTTATATCATTGATACGAGTTTCTATTGCTTCATGAAATTCAAACTAAGCATTTATTCCTGGTTCTTCTTCTTCTCCTTCTTTTCCTTTCATTTTGAATTACACTTTGTTGTTGTCTTTTGATAGAGTTATAATCACTTTACAATAACAGTATAATTTCTTCCAAAACTAAATCTTAACCTTATTAATTTTCTAGAGCGAAACCAAAATTGTTGTTTCTCAAAGAGTGTTGCTTTGTAAAGATAATATTCTATATTATTATAAGTCTGTAGAAATGAGCTAAAAATATTTGGAAAAAAGAGGATCCATAAAGTAAAAAGGGCCTTGAAAACAAAATTTGAAAGGTAAAAATTGCAAACTCGCTTTGACTGAGTTTGTTCGCGGGAGGTTATATATGGTACGATACGTATCACACCCCTATCACATCCTAAAGCAAAGAAACTTTGAAAATATCGAACGATCCCATTGGACAAAATATAATTTAAATATATTTTAAACCACAAGTAAGAAATGAATAAACATTTAAAACAGTTTAAGTCGATTTTTCGTCGTTCCAAAGGTTTTTATAATAATGATGATGATGATGTTGATAATGATGATGATGATTATGATGATGTTGATAATGATGATGATGATGATGATGATGAATGATGTTGTTGATGATGATGATGATGATGATTATTATTATTATTATTATTATTATTATTATTATTTATTATTATTATTTATACTACTACTATGTTAGTTTAACCCTTATTTAAACTTTTATTATCTGTTGGTTTGTCATGGTTACATTCTTACGTAAGTGTCATGGTATTTAATGACGTCATTTTCATTACAGCGTGTCTTACTGGAATGGGTGTGTGATAATGATATAGGCAACTGTAGAACGCTCCGTGACGAACTTAACGACTTATGGGCAGTGAAGTAAATTGCTTCGTTTTTATATCATTGATTTTCTATTGCTTCATAAAATTCAAACTGAGCATTTATTCCTGGTTAACACATCTGTGTTATTTAAGATTGAATTAAATATTGAGGAATCTTACTCTAGGACGTTGGTCATGCACATTTACATAAGTTACATAATATTTTCTCTTAATGATATCATTTAAATAAAGTGAAATGATAATATATAAAATATACTCAAATGAATGTATGTCTATTTGGTAAAGGGAGGTAATAAGAATAGTAAATTAATGTTTTTTTCTTCTTCTTCTCTGATTACAAAATATTCAAATTTACAGACCTCAACATTTAATAACATTACACGATTTGCATATTATGTAACAAATTGCCTCAATTATCATTAAAAATAAAACTTTTTTCACAAAGTTTTTTTTTTATGAAATAACAAGCAATAACTTTCTTTTTCACACGAATGATAAGGTAATTTTATTTTTCAGTAACAACTTCTTGAAACTGAATATATATTATAAAGACCTCAATTTCGAAAAGATCACCGAAGAACCTCAAATTGAGGTAAGATCTACAAATATGTTATAACAATTATTTTATAGTCATATACGTATATATTATGTTGCATATAAATGCTTAAAGGGACACCACTGTTTTTTTTTTACTTGACGGAACTGGAAATATTTTTTTTCTAATTTTTTATACCATTTGATATAGGTCTATGTAGGTTTAGACTAATAACCTGTGTGCAAAATTTCAAATCAAATGTTGTTGTTTTTTTTTCAGAATAATCATGTATATTGTGCAAAGGGATCTGAAAAAGAAGTAAAGTGTTAAAGCGCTTTTAAATCAACTTTTAATTCAAATCAGGGATGTGATAAGACTGTATATTGTCTTTCAATTTTTTTCGTGCTTTTCTTTACTATCTTTTTCATATTTTTTTCTGTTTTAGTGGCGGTTTGATTTGTATAAGATCTTTTAAATTTTATGTTTTAGGCATCCGGACCTAAGTGGACCTCCTTTATTACAAAAAATAAAATATGTTCTGTCCTAATCACGCTGCTGTTTTATTGTTAAGATAGTTTTTTCTTGCCATATCAGTCTGGTGTATCCGTTAGTTTTACCCATGCGCAAGCCTTGTTACCGTCAATTGGACGGGTCTCCTCTCTTGACGGATATTTCGATCTGAACCGCCACATTTGACAGATACATGTTTTAATAAGCAAATATACCATTAAATATATCTTGGTTTCATTCGATTTTGGGCTGCATTGGTGCTTACATGATGTAAATTTGTAATAATGGTTTACATTTATACTGTATGTACACGTAGGGCATTTCTTGTATAATGTCTTTAACGAAAGATTTATCGATCAATTTACAGATACAGCATTTCTTGTCTAATGTCTTTAACGAGAGATTTATTGATCAATTAAAAGATACAACATTTCTTGCCAGGTTATTTAACGAAAGATTTATCGATCAATTTACAGATACAACATTTCTTGTCTAATGTCTTTAACGAAAGATTTATCGATCAATTTACAGATACAACATTTCTTGTCTAATGTCTTTAACGAGAGATTTATTGATCAATTTACAGATACAACATTTCATGTCTAATGTCTTTAACGAGAGATTTATTGATCAATTTACAGATACAACATTTCATGTCTAATGTCTTAAACAAGAGAGATTTATCGATTAATTTACAGATACAAGAATTTTTGTCTGATGTCGGGGGAGCGATTGGACTATGGATTGGACTTTCTATATTAAGTCTTTGTGAAGTTATTCAACTTATAATGGAGTTGTGTCATTATGCTGGTCATAAGATACTCAAAAATGGCAGAGGTAACTGAAATAATCGTGAAACTCATCACCAAGGTCGTTCATCTGACAAGGGAATATACAATCTTCAAAATGACAAAGAAAGCCGATGGGTTGATACAGGATCTAGTAACAGAGGGAGAATTAACCAAACAGAAAGCTTTTCCAACGACAGAGGATATCATTCCGACAGCGACAGACGTTTCCGTAATGAACGTTATAATGATCTACGTCTCGCACCAGATGACCCACGTGACCATTATGACGACATACGTGAACGTTACTCTGATTTTAGAAATTTTAGACGTTTTGAAAGACCTTCTCAGTCTTATTACTGAAGACATTAACCAAACCACAAAATACCGTCTATAAATAATATTGATTAAGGTGACTAATTTACTGAACTTTTGTGTCAATTAGTTTACACACTTTGCTAGAATTTCATTGTTTTTATGCTTCTCATAATGAAATGCATTAAAGCCGTGTCATGACAAAACCAACATAATGGGTTTGCGACCAGCAAGGATCCAGACCAGCCTGCGCATCCGCGCAATCTGATCAGGATCCATGCTGTTACCAACCCTATTACAAGTATAGAAACTGATAGCGAACAGCATGGACCCTGATCAGACTGCGCGGATGCGCAGGCTGGTCTGGATCCATGCTGGTCGCAAATGCATTATGTTGGTTTTGTCATGACACGGCTCATTTTACTTTACAACAATCTTACAAGTCTCCGCTTTCAATAAAAAGATTTGAATTGGTTTTTGGGTTTTTGTGTCTTTTATATGTGCTTATTTCATATGAAAGATTGACATATACATGTAAGTTCACACCTGTATCACCTTTTTATAAACATTTTATATTTTTATTGTTCTTTCTTACCAAAATCAAACTTTTTTAAAGCCACGTCCTTTTTAAATTATCAATGTGTGTGCGTGTGTGTGCGCGCGCGTGTGCGTGCGTGCGTACGTATGTTAGCGTGTGTGTGTGCTAGCTAGTGTGTTTGCATGCGTGTGTGTTTTGTTACTTCTATCTAACTAAAAGTCATTCGTGTAAAATATGTAAAATAAAATGTATTGCATAAGGAAAGACCTGTTGCTTATGATGAGAGAATTTGTGGGTCAAACTAAATGTATTGTTACTGCCTTTAAATGTATATACATGTTTCTTTTTTATTTTTTTTTGTAATAAAATATGTTAAAATCAAAATATTATTAGTATTGTGCTTCCAATATGGTTTTATTTTTGCTTCACGGGAAAGAAAACATACATTTAAATTGCAAAGAAATTTTTTATTAATAGTCCAAAAGCCCCAAAAACCCAATAGGGCTTTTTGCGACCAGCATGGCCCCAGACCAGCTTTTTTTTTTGGGGGCCCCCATTGGGAAAAGAGTCTGATAAGGAAGGTTTGGAAGTTTCTTAAAAAAATTTGATTGGGGGTTTTTTAAGCGAACAGCAGGGATCCTGAACAGCGGGCGCGGAAGCGCAGGCTGGTCTGGATCTATGCTGGTCGCAAACCCATTATGTTGGTTTTTATCATGTCGCGGCTCATATAGTCACAACAGATCCAAATCTACTATGTTTCAATATAGTTCTAAGTAACCGCAGCATCTTAGATAAAAAAATTTATTCAAATGATAATTATGAATTATGAAAAAACTGTACTGCTATATATCAATACAGTTTTCAAATGCTCATTGAAAGTGTACTGAGTATAATGGGTTAGTAAGAAAAAAGGAAAAATTCCAAAGTTTCACTGAGGCTCCAATGGGACAGCTTACAATCCGTCATTGGGTGTTGTTTTAAGTTTTCATTATTTTATAATATTATAGCAGTAAGGTTAGCTAACGACATCATTAGCTGGTATTGGTTCATATTATCTGGGAATGAGAAGGTGAAAAAGTGAAAGGGCACAAGAGAGAGTAATGCACGGGTTTTGTTGTTGTTGTCTTTTCTGATTTCTATTACAAAAAAAAATGAAATGTGATTAACAGTTATAGTAAATAACTATATGAAACTCGTTAGGTACGGGGGTATAACACTGGCTGGGGCGACATCTCGGGATGTTTCTGAATAAAAATTGTCTCGGCCTAACGGCCTCGACATTTTTTTTAGCAGAAACACCCCTTGATGTCGCCCCGGCCAGTGTTATATCCTCGTAACTAACTCGTTTATAACTATTAAGTATGGGGTAGATTTAGTTGCCGCCAGCAGGCAGAGGTCAAGATTCCGCGGACTTCGACGAAGAGTAACGCGGTAATATAAAAATATCACTGTTTTAAAACAAAGTAGTAGTGATCTCCTTTAATATGTAATTGAGTGTATCTCGAAGAATAACTGTTCATTTGTTTCACTATCAATGTTAAAAAAGGATAGGTTTAACTAAGTGTTTTAGGGAGTACAGAAAATGAAAACGATATCACTGTGGTTGCTAATTTAGGTCATTTTTGATACTAGGTAAGTCAAGACTGTTATAAGCAAGCAACACCATATTTGATCACTAATTTGTATGTGCTAATTTTGTTTTCTGTAATGTTACAAAGTACTAAATATTCTGAAATTCAATGCAGTTCAGTAGGTTTTATAATAGTTGCTTGTTTGAAATGAAAGAACTTTTGTTTTGAGTTACGCTCTTTTTACTCAGTGAAATTAAGCGAAACGTAATTTTGATAATATTAAATTAATAAAAATAATTTGAAATAATATAAGGTGTGGTTTACTTTGAGTTATTTGCTCTAATCTAGAAGATTTTAAATGACGATGACTACTGATTTACATGTAACATTGATTTGTCACACCGCTAAAAATGCTGTTATATTCCTGGATGTAGTGGGTAGAGTCTGTTGAACATCACAAATTAGTGTTGTCACACCTTTAGTTCGATTAAATGTTAGGAACTAAAAACTGTTATTTTTGGGACATTGCTTTTTGTGTGCAAGTTGGCAATCAAGTGTAACCGTGATGGAAAACAAAATAAAAAGATCAATGAAACTTTAAAAAGACTTTTAATACAATTCCCCAATTACTTATAAACACAACAATGCAGTAAAAAGGGTTTCACATTAGGCATTAACACCCAGTCCAAAACAAGGCGGGAGTCTGAAAAAGAAATGCCCCCATAAATATTGCTCATCACATGTCAACAATAAACCGTCCATCAGTAATGAAAATAAACATTAAAAGTGTTTACGTATCTGCTTTTGGATATACTACATATGTTATTAAAAGAGAAATTGATAGTTGAATCTAAACTTTATATGTACAAACGTATGACAAAATATATTAAATGTAGAGCGAAAAATAAGTTTAATTAGATACGGTTCATAACACTAAGTACTTTCCCCGACAACAATTGATGTATGTCGTCTGCTCACGACATTTGCTTGGTACAGATTGAAAACAAAATAATTACCGATGAAAGATGTCATCATTAGTTGAAATATAGTTTATAATGAACTGAACACATGACTGATTTTGATTATTTTGTTACAGTCGAGATATGTACCAGTTTGAACGCTTGATGAAAAAAAAATACATACGTTAATTTGTTGTACAATTCCCTGATGAAAAAGTGAGATTAAATTATATTTTGAAGATAATTTCATTTTCAACCAACCAATACCTAACCGTTTTAAAAACAACGCAAAATTACTCGCGGATATGTAAGTTAGATATTATTTGTATTTTGGCATATGTGTTTACAATAACTTGTGACTGTATGAAAGGATTACTATTATTTTTAATATATTTTTTCTTGACCGGAAGTGTTTTATTAACACATTATACAAATAGCTATCGGAGAAAGTTAAAATTATATAATATAAAAATGGCGGGAGAAAATTATAAATCAGGTGCAGCAGACGGTACAGACAGTGTAGGCTCGTTTGATTCCATGGGTAAGAAGAAATCTTTTCGACGTCTCATCAAGAGGTTTGCAGAGAAAACCTCGATGCAAGGTCCACCTTATATAAACATGGCAAAATTGTGGTGGGCTAAGGTCATCTGGGCTCTTTTATTACTCGGTGCAGTTTTTGCCATGTTATTACACCTATGGTATCTGTTTTCTCAGTGGTACTCCTGGCCCAAAACGACCGTCATTTCTCTTGGATTTGACAACCTACAATTTCCGCAGGTAACGATCTGTAACACGAACGTTCTCCATAAAAATAGATTTGATAAATTTCCAGGAGCAAAAAAGCTCAAGATGCTCGTCAAAGATCTAAAACCGGAAAATTTTGTACCACATCAGTTCGATGATAATTATGATCCTAATGCCAGAAACCAAGAAAGAAATCCGCAGACTGGCAATGAACCTAACGGGAACCAGCAGAACGGAACCAACCAAGGTGGAACCACTAAACAAACGCCTAATCACTCAGAGAATACTGATCCAGGGGGTAAAAACGAACAGCCATCTAGCACAACACAACGAAGTAGATCCACGCGAAGTGGTACTAAACAAGAAAGTACAACTGTGGTAAGTAGGAGCGGTCCTATCAAAAGAACAACACAGGATGGTGCAGCCGTTAATGGCGAACAAACTCAACAAAGACGGACAAGTCCAATGCCTAATGTAAATACACGACTCTTTAATTTTTTTATTTTATTTTATTATTCTATTTTATTATTTTATTTTCGTTTCAATTTCTTTTCTTTAAAGTGTTTGAAAAAAATGAAAAATTTCGGTATGACATATTTTTAGAGTCTAAAAGGAAATGATTTGTCTATATATTATTGAAACACGCTCAATAAAATTCAAACATTTTTTCCCATTCAAATTGAACCTTGTGGGGATAAGGCTTGCTGCTTAGCTCAGCCATCTTAGCTTGTCCAGCTTAACACTTCTTGTTTTCTTGTGTTACCCGTATTAAATGACGTAAAAAATATAATGAAAACCAAGTGCAATTGATAATAATATAGACATATACATTTAATTAAGATGTTATCTAAAATTGTTGTATAATTATTATTTATTTGGTAGACGATGAAACAAAATATGGCTGTGCAGCACTGGATTGAATTTGTTACTGGTTTGAGACTTTAAAAATGTGATAACAATACTCATCGCATGATAAAACACATAGCTACACTTTTAATATTAAAATAGTTACTTTCTAGATTCAAGCTTTCTAGCTATTTTCCGAACAGCCCTAGCCCTCCTATCACCGCCACTTACGTAATGTTATTTCTATATAACTTTTCCATGCAAAATGTGATAAGCCATTAAATATGATTAGTTGAAAGATTCTAACGTACATGTAATATATTATTTACTTAATATAATATCATTGCTAGTCGAGACAGAGAAGATTTGTGAGCAATTATGAGACCTTAAATCTGAGTAAATACCACGAGAATTATAGGGATTTTGATGAAGATGACACTGTGCTAACATCGCCTATAGATAGTCAAACGAAGGTAGAAAAGATCTTCAAAGAGTTGTACATGGATATTGACAGGTCAGTTTGTTTAAAGTTTATAAACCGATACCCCCTCCCCCGCACCGTATGCTACAAATCACTTGATTGCAAATGACGTAAGAATATGAGTGCAATTAAATTTGGTTTCTCATAATGACACATTGGCATTGGCCACAGAATGTATGTGCCAATCAAAGTAGTTCACACAATAAGTAAAGACGTTACACTAGCAGCAATATAAATGAGCGTCACTTTGGTAGGTAGTTGGTAGTTGAATATTCGAATAACCAACTACCTACTTGCTTGTACATGTTGGTAATTCCCAAATACGAGCCGTATTAAAGAACTGGTCCCCACTTTGACATATTATAACAGCCTGAAAACATGGCGCCCTTGTAACTTTTTGTATTTCTGTATCAATTTTTAATAAATTTGGTATCAAAGGAAATATTACTTCATAAGGTGTTTAAGGAGTGTCCCCATGTGTCATGTAAGTGTTTGAGGAGTGTCCCATGTGTCAGATCAGTGTTTAAGTAGCGTCCTGTGTGTCAGTGTATGAGTAGTGGCCTGTGTCTCAGTGTTTGAGTAGTTCCTCGTGTACATAGTGTGCTGTGAGTATTGTCCTGTGTGTCATGTATGAGTAGTGGTCAGGTCTGTGTTTTAGGGGTTCCCTATGTGTCAAGTTAGTGTTTGAAGAACGTACTGTGTGTCACGTATTATTGAG